TGATTTGTTTGCACCCTCAGATTCCAGATTTTCAAAAAGCTGTATCTCAGCCAAATATTGTTCTATCCTAACAAACCATCAATGGAAAGCTTATTTATTCAGATAATGTATAAATCTCAATTTCGAAAAATTGACACTTAAGACTGGTTTTGTGGTCCAGGGTCACATATCGCCAATTCTGAATTTTATTCTCAGAATTGTGAGTTTATATCTCGCAATTCTGTAAAAAAAAAAGATATTAACTCAGAATTGCGAGAGAAAAAGCTAGATAAGTCACAATGATCTTTATTTCAAGTGAGCTCCACAAAAAGACACATAATGCAAACAGTCTCAGACGCTGATCTTGTATTCTGTGTAACTCTCACTGCTGATTCCTGGCCGTCTCATTTGCAAAGCGTAATGGACTTCAGGTCATCCAGGTATTTGAACAAAGCCTTTGTTCATTTTTACTTTGTTCCAGGGTAAACACGATCAGCGTCACCACAAACAATGCGGTTAAGAAGATGAAACATTCTGTGCTCGTGTCTAATCTAGTGTAAGAAGGAGAGATTCTGGGCCTAACGCTGCTCATCTCTTGGAGTTGTATTGGAAATCTTTTGGACTATATTGAAAACTCATCTCATCTTTTCACGTCTGGCTCAGGGCCGGTCGTGTCACACCTGTGAGATGATGGAGCTTCTGGTTTTCATCAGAAGGACATTACAGGTTGTCCACTGAATCGCTCTGGCCGAGTTAAGGCAGTGAAATGGTTTCGTGGTGAGCCGAGTGTCTTACATAAATTTCATGGGTTCTGCACACATTTCATCTCTCAAAACGTATTCAAGCGTTGAAAAATAAATCCTGATCTAAACCAGAGAGACGCTGATACCCATGACCGATCCCAAATCCAACATAAACCTCAGAAGAAGAAAAAGACCAAAGAGGATCTAGGAGATATGAATAATAAAGTGTGTTGTATTTTTAGGTTTTTGGAAGAAGATTGAATGTTGGATGGGGGGGGGAAATCAGTTAAGAATTAAAAGTACAGTGAAAACTAACCAACTTACAGCTAAAAAAATAAAAAGCTGTGGCTAATTGCATTCTGTGTAATTATGGGATGCATGGGTTGTGGTGTTGCCTAGCAACAATCAGTTCTGCAAATATGCAATACATACAGTGGGTACGGAAAGTATTCAGACCCCCTTAAATTTTTCACTCTTTGTTATATTGCAGCCATTTGCTAAAATCATTTAAGTTAATTTTTTTTCCTCATTAATGTACACACAGCACCCCATATTGACAGAAAAACACAGAATTGTTGACATTTTTGCAAATTTATTAAAAAAGAAAAACTGAAAAATGCTCAGTATTTAGTAGAAGCACCCATTTGATCTAATACAGCCATGAGTCTTTGGGAAAGATGCAACAAGTTTTTCACACATGGATTTGGGGATCCTCTTTCCGTACCCACTGTACATTCAGATGTTTGGGGTCAGTAAGATTTTTAAACAAATTAATATTTTTACATCAAGGATGCATTGCATTAATCAAAAGTGCAAGACTGCAATTTAATGCAGTCTTGGTGAGCAGAAGAGACTTCTTCAAAAACATTTTAAAATCTTACCGACCCTAAATAGTAGTGCATATTTACAAACAAAAATATATATGTAAAATTGATTGAAAAGTCATAAATGTGTTAAAAACAAAAATGGGCCATGAATGTATCTTGAAAAAAAAATCTAGAATGCATTTGTGGAATATTCCTTGCATAAAGCCACGTGTGACACAATGACCTGCTCTGCTTACTGCAAATGTACGATAAATATTAGGGCTAACAGCTGAAAATCATCCCGCTGTCATAACTACATTCTTCATTTCCTAAGATGCCAAAAATAGAAGCACTGACCCTCTTCCAGTCGGATTCCTGTCATGTTTTCCGGTTTCTCTCTCTCGCTCTCTCTCTCTCAGCGTGACCGTCGCCTCCTTCCTCCTCGTCATTCTGACCTCTGACACTGATGCGGAGAAATGACAAGAAAGCAAACACATGGATCTCTGTTACATCAGACCTGACAGGTGTTTACACTGCAAAAAATATTTCATCTTGTTTTCCAGTACAGATATCTCAGCTTTCTTAAATCAAGATACATTTACTAGGAAAGCAAAATTATATGTGACCCTGAATCCACAAAAGCAGTCTTAAGTCGCTGGGGTATATTTGTAGCAATAGTCAAAAATACAAAAATAAATAAATAAAACAAAAAAGAGATTTTTTTGTGTTACAGCTGAGATTTGTGTATTTGTTTGCAGATAAAGTTGGACATTTTATATAAAGAGTTGGGCAAAAATATAGTTACATTTTGTGACAACATATAATAATAATAATAGTATATTTTAAAGATTAATACAAAATTTAAATAATAATGGCAAAAATAAAATAAAGCTTTTTTGTTACAGGAGCATACATGGATTCTTGCATAATATTAACATTATATCTGTGGTATCAAACATATATTTTTAAAAATCTGATATGATGACCTTCTGTACATTAACAGCAGAGAAAAGTTTATCAAAATTATCCACATTTTTCTAAAGGTTATTTGTGCATTTACAGACAAAAACGTATCAAAAAACACCATGGTATTTATAAGTATCAATATAATTGTATGTAATGTTTATTCCACGGTAATCTTTGCAATACAGTGGAATACCATATACTCATTATTCAGTACTGTGGAGTATATATTTAACAACCCTAAAAAATATTTTGATTTTGTGATGCCTCTAATTGGTAAAACCAAAAGTCAAACCTCTACATATTACATCACAAAAATCACCTAGAGATTGATTGTAATAAATTGACACGCTGACAGCACATCACTGCACAGTTAAAGCATTTGTGTTTTCTGTCATTTCAGTGGAATATTAATTTGTTTTCTCAGCAATCTTCAACAAAACAAAACATGCATTTGAAATAAAACCACACGATTCCTAAAGCTTTGGCGGATACGTGCACAGAAATCGCATGCAACCTGGAAAATCACCTTTATTTTGCGAGATGAAGCTGTAAATAACACTGGCTCACGTTGTAATGAGGCCAGCAGGGACCAAAGAGAACGACAGCCGAGTTTAAGACGCTATTCAACGCATTCTGGCCGTGCAATGAGTCCGATTTAAGAGAGCAAACGTCTTACTTTGAAGTGTCACACTGATTCACAGGCTCTGTTTTCACACACACGCTGTTGATTCTGACTGCAAACACGTCTCCTGTGTGTGTGTGTGTATGTGTGGTTGCACTGCTCTCTGCTGGAGCGCTTCCCACCGATGGAGAAATCACTGCACCGGTTTTGTTTGGCTTCATCAATATTTCAGCTGTTCAGATAATAGTGAGACTGATGCAACATGTTCTCAAACACAAACCATAACTCAAACTAAATAAACACGTTCAAACATTTCATGCACTTGAGCAGGAAGAGTCTTCCATTTCAACAGTACACTGTAAAAAACGAATGTAATGTACGTAATAGTAATACTATTTTGGTTTTTCTACTTTTATTTTTATTTAATAATATAAAATTATTTATATAAAATTTTATATAAAGAGTTGGACAAATATACACATTTAGTGATTAAAAAAATATTGACGTAAATAAAATAAATAACAAAAAAATAAAAAGAGACAGATCAGCGGTTACTGGAGTTTTGAGTCATACTGTCAGCAAGCTTGCAGGAATACATGACGACGAGGAGAGTTCAAACACAGAGTTTAATGAAGATCCACAGAAGGGTCTGGCTGTGTTGTGTTCTGCACCGGGGATAGACGCTCTCCAGACCTCCCTCCAGTCTAGTCCTGTGGTGTCTGGGAGGTCAACGGGATGATGATAGCTCGGCCCATCCAGAACAGGTGACGGCGAGATGGATGAAACTCATCATATATGCCAGCAAACTGCTAATTTAGCTGTATAATCCAGTCTTCTGAGCTCTCTTTGTTCATCAAAATTATCTACATTTTTTTCTAAAGTCTTTTTGTGCATTTACAGACGAAAAAATAAATAAATAAATATTACTAATTCCAGCAATTGAAACAGTACTGTACACTGTAAAAAATTATTTAAGTTAATAAAATCAAACAAATATTGGAGTATGTTTTACAAGATTTCAGTTTTTCTATTTCAAAATTCCATTTCTGAATCAGCGTTATTTGCTGTTCTTCGAAATTATTTGTGAAATTTACTTTCAATTTATGAGAAAAAGAATTGTCTACTTTTTTTCCCATGTACTATAGAAATATTTTAAGTTCGATTTTTGTAAAGAAAAAAGCTATCTGTGGCTTAGTGACAATGCAATATTTAAATCCCTTTATGCATTGTATAGTTCAGGTAATTTATACATTATATAATTTATATAATGTTATATAATTTATAATATTTTTACAGAGTAGCAAAAATACATCTTCTATTTTGATTGTGATTAGCTATTCTTAACATGCATTTTTCATGTCAAATCAGGAGGAAAAACACAGGAATATTTGTTTCTCATCATCTAGAATAAATTCCATTCACATAAATCCTTTGAGTCACTTCTAGATAAATAAAGTACTCTTGACATCTAGTGGACAAAGCAGAGATCACAACAGGTTTTTAACCATCTGATTTTCCTTGTATGATAAAACGGTGCTTTAAAATCCTGTGAATTATTGTGAGAATGTATTAATTACAGAGTCATTAATTCAATCACTTATTGTTATTATTCTTTGATTACCTTTGTTGCATTTCATACACCGAAAAAAAAAACACTCAGACTTTGCTAAATTTCACTATTAATTAAACGGCATTGAATTAAACATGCAATTATGAAGTGGAAAGACTTAAATAAATAAACCAATTTTAATTCAAAAAATAAATTTGAAAATGAAAAGTAAAAAACAAATAAAAAAATAAATAAAAAAATTACTATTTATAATATTTATTATATAAATAAATTTATATAATTATATAAATACCCCTTCCACAATATTGGTGCATATATACACAGTAGTTCCATGCGATCAGCTAAACCCTCTGCATGACATCCAGACAGCAGTTTAAACTTCATCTGTGTAGAAACAGGATTTCTCTATAATGCATGCATTGACTCATTTGTATTCACCCACTGAGAGATAAAACATTCACACGCAGCACGTCGCTATTTACCCATCCGATAACATGAAGGACAATCTTATTCATTATCAGAGTGTAAAACATGAGGATGTCCTGAGGATAGAAATTATTCTTCCTCTAATCCGTTGATAATTTATGCAATAACTGCATTTTATCAACTTATGCAACCTCAATGAGCTTAATGTGAATATTCAGTTTTACAGCTCTAGAATCAATGATTTCCAAACCAAAGGAGAATATACAGCATGCGTTATATTTTTCTTCACTCAGCTTGATGTGTTGTATTTGTATTTACTTAATAAATACTTAAATACTTAATATCCCAAGTATTTTCACCTTGACAAGTTGACAATACATTTTATTGACCCAAACACTTAAAGTTGTTTGGACTTAAAACGTTATTTCCAATATCTTTATAAAAAAATAAGATGGAAGAGAAGCGTAGAAAATGTCACTGTAAAACTGATTTGTTGTACTGCAACAACTTTGTCAAATAAATTTAGATAACGTTATTCAGATAACATAATACTTTGAGTTGAGATAGAAAGACTGAAATAGTATTTTCTTGTAAAACATAGTCCAATAATCGTTTTATTTACAACTTCGAAAAATCATTTTTCAGTGTAAACTTACTTTTTCCTTTAAACTAATTTGTCTTTTCTTAGTTTAACCAGAGGCGGACCGTAATTAAGTACATTTACTTGAGTATTGTACTTAAGTACACTTTTTGAGTATCGGTACTTTACTTGAGTATTATTTTTTCTGGGAACTTATGACTTTAACTTCACTACATTTGAGAGACAAATATTGTACTTTTCACTCCACTACATTTCTATCAAGGTCCTGGAAGTAGAAAGTCGTTACTATGTAGCAGCTTTGAAAGTCAGTGGGTGATTTTCTTCTTCTCTAAAACTTGACTTTCTTTTTTTCAGACAGTTTATCAGTAATCACTCTTGTATGAAGTGATTGCCCAGTATTTTTTGAACACTGACCAGCTGGAAATGTGATATTTATTTACAACAATTCAATAAGAAGTTAATATTTTGGTATATATTAGACACAATATTGTCTGAATTTGCTAAACTGTGTAGGTGAAAATATTATCTATAAAGCCACAGAAAAACTGTGTTGTGCATCTCCTAATAAAACACAATAGGTGTTGGACTTGAAGCAGCACTGCACAGACTGTTCTGTGTGTGACATCAAAGTACAGCGAGAGCGATTATACAGCATTTAAAAAAATGTTTGTTTTGATGTCAAATAAGTCTTGCTGTTTTGCTTTTTTGTTAAAGCAGTGTTGCTGTTGTAAAGTTATACAGCTACAGTTGTGTTGCTGGGTTTTAAACAGTATCTGTACTTTCACTCAAGTAATGGAGTTGAGTACTTCGTCCACCTCTGAGTTTAACCACAAATAATTTATTTTGATTGTTACAACCATATCAAATTGGCAGGGAAAAAAAAAAACAAAAAAACTTTTCACCCTGTAATTATTTGTGAAATTTCAAAGAAAAATTCTAAGAAACAGCAAGTAACATTGAATTACACATTTAATTTTAAAATATAAACACTTAATTTCTAATTTCACCGTTACTTTCCATTTCTTTGTAATTATTTGTGAAATATACTAGCAATTTCTGAGTGAAAATGTTCAAATTCTTTTTTTTTTTTTTTCAGTGCAGCGTTTATGGGAAACAATGATTTTAGCTGCCCACCTCTGAGTTTCCATCCAGGCTGTTTACTTGAGCAAACCTGTGTGAGATGACCTTATCAAAATGACATCTGCAAATACACATTGACAGGCCTTTAGAAAGCGCTAAGCTAAAGCTCGCTCAAATCAAGCCCTGATTCCATCAGACTGTGCATTCCCACAATGTGCATCTGAGCCATAAGAGAGATCAAATCAATATTTCACCCTTAAATATTTATGTTGTTCAGAAACATGCAGTAACTAGTGCACATGACAGAAACGGTTAAACTTGCTCTGGTTGAGGTCAAGATCAGGTTAAGTGAGGTTTCTGCTCATTAGCACTGTGTTTGGGGAAAGCAGCAGAACACTGTTTGGTTTTTCCAGGGATCGCTGTGGAAGTGCATCCATAAACGGTAAAAGTGCTCAGAGAACCAAATTTCACAGCGAGGCTGAGAGCGAACGCCGGCGGTCCTGAAATCATGATGCTCAGCGCATTAAATATGAAGACGGTACAAGACAGCCGTCCTGGATTTCATGTTGTTTGAGGACGCAAAACAGACAGACAAGAGGAAGTGAAGTGCAATGCATTTGCATGAAAATGAGTCTCAGACATTCATACATAAATCAATGCAATTAAATAAAGTTCAAAATGAGGCATCATTCATTTATCATCTTTAAGGGAATGGTTCACCCCAAATTGCAAATGTGCTCACCCTCAAGCCATCCAAGATTAGTTTGTTTCTTCATCAGATTTGGAGAAATGTAGCATTGCATCACTTGCTCTGCAGTGAATGGGTGCCGTCAGAATGAGAGTCCAAACAGCTGATAAAAACATCACAATAATCCACACCACTCCAGTCCACCAGTTAATGTCTT